CTCCTCCTCCCTCAAACCCAATCCCTCCCCCTCTCCATCTCCGACCGCATGTTCATCACCTTCGGCCTCAGCCTCACTCCTTGTTCCTCCGACCAGCCCCAATGCCAAGGCTTCGCCTTGTCCGCCAACATGAACAACGTCTCCTTCCGTTTCCCCACCAACATTTCCCTGCTCGAAGCCCATTTTAATGGAGTCGAGGGAGTTTACACGAGGGACTTCCCTGATCGCCCGCCTCTGGTTTTTGATTACACGAACCCGAACGTGAACGCGGTCGGGACATCGCTTCAGCTGTCGGAGAAGGGGACGAAGGTGAAGAGGTTGAGGTTTAATTCGACGGTGGAGATTGTGTTGCAGAATACGGCGGTGCTTGCCAGCGATAGCCATCCCATACATTTGCACGGGTTTAATTTCTACGTGTTGGCGCAGGGGTTTGGGAATTATAATCATACGGAGGCGGTGGAGAAGTTTAATTTGTGGAATCCGCAGGTGAGGAATACCATTGCTGTGCCTGTGGGAGGTTGGGCTGTTATTCGGTTCTGGGCTGATAATCCTGGTAAGTTATGGCGATGTAAATTTATTTTGAAAAATAATATTTTATTTTAAAGTTTTTGATATATATATATCTATATATATATAAGTTTAATATTTGTACTTTTTTTATGTATTGACAACATAAATTAAATAAAATAAAATTATCAACACAAATTAAAAAAATTATTAGTCAATTTTAGCAGCTAATTGACACGTGCAGGGATTTGGTTCATGCACTGCCACTTGGACGTTCACCTGCCGCTTGGCCTGGGGATGGCATTCGAGGTGGAGAACGGGCCCACGCCGTCGTCGACGTTGCCGCCTCCGCCGCCGGATTTGCCTCTCTGTTAAGGGGCCTTCATCGAGAAAAAGAAGAAGAGGGCGCTTGCGAAGAAGAGTATGGATTGATTGGATTAGTTTTATTTATTGTGGATATATAATATTCGTTTAAGATTGGATTGTTGAGTGCAATAATTGTTTTTTTTTTTTT